GGCGACTCCTCACTCACCACGGTCCTGCGGGGCGGCGCGCCGGGGGTCCGCGACAGGGCCCGGCGAAGCCTCCGCGCCCGGCCCGAGCGGGTACCCCCCGAGCTCTCCGAACCGCTGTCGTCCGAGATCACGATGAAGTCCTCCATGACTGCGGGTACCAGCCACGCTAGACCGTGGGCGGCCGGCGACCCGGGCGGCGGTGGCAGCGGCGACTTCGGTTCCTGTTACCGGAGCGGCGGCGGCGGCAGCGGCGACAGCCCGGGCCATCACTCCGCCGGCCCCGCCCCCTCTATCCAGGGCCCCGCCCCTCGTCCCGGCCCCGCCCACTTCCTAAAGCCCCCGCCCACCGGTGGCCAGCAGCCCGCTGCCGAGTCAAGGACGTGAGAAAGCGGAGGAGGGAGAAGGGGAGGGGGTGGGAGGAGAGGGGGAGCGAGGGAGAGATGAGAGAGACGCATGAAAGGGAGGGGTGGGGGGAGGTGAGAGGGAGAGATGAGAGGGAGGGATGAGATGAGATGGGCCAAGGTCGGGGCTGCGGGGCAGGGCGCTGATATGTGACCAACCCCCGTCTCCCTGCAGTGTGAGCTGGTCTCCCTGAAGACAGAGCTTGCGTGACTGACAAGGAGAGGGGCCCCTCGAGATGGATGACTTGGCTCTGACTGACTCATCCTGGTGGGGTAGATGGTGCCCTGACTGCGCATTACCTGGGTGCGCACTGACAGTGTAAAGGGGTCCCCAGCTTACAGTGGGCGGCCCAGACTCTTACTGATGGGGTAGAGGGGCTCTGAGTGTCTGAGGGCGGTGACCTGGTCTTTTAGGAACGGATGGCACGGCCCCCAGATGACTGAGCTGGTTTTCTGAGGTACAGGAGAAAGCCCACACTTCTTTGCATATATGTGCAGGATCAACTCCTAGAAGTAGAATTATTGAATTTAAAGTGGGACGTAAAGAGTTACTCAGTGGTACCCGGATGAAAAGAAAAAGTGCACAAAGAAAAGCTCTGAGGTAGTAGAGGCTGTGAATAATTAGGCTATCCTTACAATAAATGTGGGTAATTGACTAAATCCTGGTTCGGCCCCAACAACTTTATAAAATATAGTAACAGAGCCAAAGACAATTGTCAGAAGGGGAATTTGTTCCTAGAGGAATGAAATTCAGGTGCTGTTTAAGCAATGTCTAGTGCAGTGGCTCTTAAAAGTTTAGGTTTATAAAAACACAGATTACTGTGCTTTACCCCAGAGTTTCTTTTTCTTTTTTTAAATTAATTAAGTTTTTGGGTACCTTTTAGGTATACATAATGATTACATTCATCCCAGGGAATTTGTACCTGTACATGTTATAACTTGATTCTTTTTTCCCCTTCCCTTACCCTTCGTTCAACACTTCTCTCCCTTCTTATTTACAAAATCTTTTGTGGGGGAAGGATTGTGGTTGGTAATGGATTGATTACTGGTGGTCGGCTTATGATCCCCAGCTGAACTGAGTGCACGTGGTGCTGGGTGTGGGAGGCCCGCCTGAGGATTGTTACCATCAGCTGAGAGGCAGAATTGGAAAGGGATAATGAATTTCTCCTGTTGGTTTTAGTTACGTTCTTTGTTCTACTAAAAGGTGACTGAAATGAATGATCAGGGCCACCACAGTCCGAGAGACTGTAAGCCCCCTGATCCCAGATTTTTAGCTCTCTTGTTTTTCTTGTCTCTTTTATCTTTTCTTATTCATTCGCGGGCACCTCGTTCTCAGGACCTGTCACTATAGTTAATACCAACAATCTTTGTTTCCATTTTATCTTTCTTTTCACATTTTTTCTTTTCCTTTCCTTTCTCCCTCCCCCCTCCCTAGTTCCCCTTCCCATTTTCTTCCTATTCTGCAAAATCTATTATACATTTTGGCCCTTATTTACACTTTCAGATTCTCACACCAGAGAAACCTTGCAATATTCACACGTGTTGGATATATTTCACTAAAGAGTATGGTCTCAAGGTGCATCCATTTACCTAGAAATGTCTCAAGTTCATCCTTCTTTATGGCTGAGTAGTACTCCCTTGTATGAAAAAACCCCACATCTTTATCCATTCATCTACTGATGGGCATTTTGGCTGTTTCCAAGATTTAGCTATTACAAACTGTGCTTCTATGAACATGGGTGTGCATATATCACTGTAATATAATGCTTTTAATTTTGGGGGGAAGATACCAAGAAGGGGAATAGCTGGTGAATGGAACCTCTAGTTTTAGTTTTTTGAGGAATCTTCACAATGGTTTCCACAATAGTTGACCAGTCTACACGCCCACCAACAGTGGAGAAGCATTCCTTTTTCCCAACAGCCCTGCCAGCATTTGTTATTGGTTGATTTCTTGATAATAGCCATTCTTTCTGGAGTGAACTAGAATCTCAGAGTTGTTTTAATTTGCATCTCTTGAATGACTAATGATGTTGAACATTTTTTCATATATTTATTTGCCATTTGTACTGCTTTATCTGAGAGGTGTCCATTCATTTCAGATGCCCATTTCTGGATTGGGTCTTTAAATTTGGGGCAGTATGATTTTTTTGAGTTCTTTATATGTTCTAGATACTAGTCCTTTGTCTGAGGAACAGCTGGCAAAATTTTTTTTCCCATGCTGTGTGTTGTCTCTTTTTTCTATTGGTGGTTTCCCTTGCTGTGCAAAAGCTTCTTTAATAAGATGAGATCTCACTTGTTGATTCTTTGTAATAGTTCCTTGCACCCCAGAGTTTCTGACAGAAATACTGAACTTTTAGAGTGAGCTCCAAAATTTGCATTTCTAACTAGTTCCTAGGTAATGTTGTTGATGTTGTTAGTTTGGTAACCACACTTACAACCACTGATCTGGTGGACAAGAAGTTTATGACCAACCAATTTCAGATGTTATTTCCAATGAGTGAATTGTAAAGAACTTCATTAAGTTGACTTTACCTAATGCCATTAGACAGTTTATCTCCCTACTTCTTTTTTGTGTGTGCTGGTGATGAAATCAAGGCCTCATGAATGCTAAGCATGCTCTCTACCAGTGAGCTACATCCTCAGCCCTAAGTTCTTACTTCCTGAAACACTGTCTTTTCTATGCTTCAATGTTGGAAGTTGAACTCAGTGGCTCATAGTGCAGCGCAAATGCTCTTCCACTAGTCAGCACCCCCAGCCCTCAATGATCATTTTTATCCCAGTGACACCCCCATATGTTTACCTCTGGCCCAGTCTCATCCTTGAAGCTACAGCTGTATATATCCAGATGGTTATTGAAGTTCCTAGGCATTTCAGATTGAATACTTCTAAAACTAAGCTCACCTTGGAGCTAGGCATGGTGGCACACACCTGTCATCCCAGTACTCAAGAGGCAAGAGGGTCACTGTGAGTTTGAGGCAAGCCTGGGCTACATAAGTGAGTTCAAAGCTAGGCTGCACTACATAAAGAGACCATCTCAAGAAAAAAACCCAAAGAAACAAAAAACAATAACAAAAAAACTGAACTCACCTCTGCTCACCCTCCAATTTTTTTTCCTCAAAATGCTCGTTCTCCCTCACTGTTCCCTGTCTCAGTCAGTGGTGCTACCACCAGCCAGCACTTGCTGAAATGAGAAACCCGGGCATTGTGCTTGATTTTCACTTTTTCCTCATCAATTAGTCATGTCTACTTTATCTCCTAAATATCTTCTCTTTACATTCACTTCTTTTGGCTTCCACTGCTGTGATTCTAGCCAAACTAAGATCACCTCTGGCCTAGTCTATTGTGGTAGCTTGGCATCCAGTCTTCCTGAATCTATTCTTGTCCTCTTTCATTCTGTTTGTTTGTTTGTTTGTTTGTTTTTGTTGTTTCTTTCTGGTACCAGGAATTGAACTCATGACCTCACGCTTGCCAGGCAGGTGCTGTGCTGCTGAGCTAAATCCCCAGCCCTGTCATTCTTTTTTATGCACTCAGCCAAAGTGATCTTTTTTTAGAAGTCTGTAATCATGTCCCCTTCTAATAAGTACTGTCTGTACCTTAGTTAGCTCTACTTTCAATAACAAAAACTGGCTTAAACAACAGAAATTTATTTCTTACAATTCTAGAAGCTGGGAAGTTCAAGATAAAGATGCTGGTTGAACCTTTTTGTAGTAATAACTGTCTTTTCCTTGGGTTGCAGGTGGCCAATTATTACTATGTCCTCATATGGCCTTTCTGTGCAGGAAGAAAGAAAGAAAGAAAGAAAGAAAGAAAGAAAGAAAGAAAAAGATCTCTTCCTCTTTTTCTTGTAAAGCCACTGATCTCATACTTAAGGCTCTACCTTTATGACAATCAAATCCTAATCCCCTTCCAAAGACTTGGTCTCCAGACTATCACTTTGTGGGTTAAGGCGTCAGCACAAACATTCAGTCCCATCACATTCTATAAGGTCCTAAAATATAAACAAATATAACTTTGCGCATTTTCTAGATTGTATAAATATATATTTAGATATTGTAAATAATGATATGTAGAACAAATATGCATTTACTGAATAACTTGCTGAACAGCTGTACTACATTCAAGGGATATAATAATGAACAAGATAGGCTTGGTCCCTTACTCTAATAGTATTTACAGTTTAAGAGGAAGGTCAACAGTTAACCAGGAAATACTTATAAATTATAAGTGTATGATCAGTTTGAGAAGTCTCAATTTATGAACCATAAATATGAAACAGCTTTATTTTTTTCTCAGTAATTATTATCACTATCTCTAGAAATCCTGTTGCTCTCTAGATGGTATTTTTTTTCAATTTTTATTTTTTATTCCTACATGTTTGTAGTACATAATGATTACATTTCTTGTAGGGAGTTGGTATGCGTACACAACACATTAATTCTTTTTTCATCACTCTCCCCTGCCTTCCCTCTCTCTAGACAGTATATTTCCTTAAGAACATCTTACTACTCTTATAACTTTTCAATCTTTTTCAGTATTAATAAAGTCTTATTCCAAATAATAAAACTTAGATTGGGCCAGGTGTGGTGGGATACATCTGTAATCCTAGCTACTTAGAAGGCGAAGGCAGGAGGATTCCAAGTTCAAAGTCATCCTGAATAATTTAATAAAACCCTATCTCCCCAGAGCTCAGACCCATGCTACCAGTTAGTCCAACAGGAATGAGAGGGCTTGGGGCATGGTCTGCCTTCTCCCTCTGGCCAGACCGTCATCTCCATCGAGGAGTCCTGGGTAATCATGACTATGGAGGAACAAGAAAACAGCCTGTTGCTAGTCACAGGTGCAAGTCTCTCGGTCCTTCTTTTCAATCCTGGCCTTCCTTCCAGCCATCATACCTCAGGGAAA